GAAGAGACCTGCGGGAACTCCTTCAAGACTGTTGGAAAAGCATTCCAGGTGAAGCTGGTTGAGAGAATGCCAAGAGTGTGTAAAGCTGTCATCAAGGCAAAGGGTGGCAAAAAAAAAAACCTGGAATGAGTAGGTGTGTCCAAACTTTTGACTGTTATTATACACACACACACACACACAAACACACAACACACACACACACACACACACACACACACACACACATACACACACATATTATACATACACACACACACACACACATTGATGGAATCTACAATCTATCTGCAATATTAAAGCTGATCTACCCCCTAAAAATAAAATACAATATATACATTATTTTCGGTGTTTATCGAAAAACCCTACAGAAACTCCATTAATTTTTCCATAGGCTTTGTCCAACAAACAATGGCGGAGTTAGTGCCTGCAAAAAGACACCATTACTATTGCTTTCTATTGGACCGGTAGGAATCTCAGCCTATAGGAGATGTGTGTGCTCCTTCTCCCACCACTGATATCTGATAGGGAAACTGTCTAAATGCATGAGGATAGGGCGCCACCCAGTGGCCAAATCCATACATTGTGGGGAAGAATCTAGAGGAGGGTTCCCCAACTGTCGGCCCGCAAGCCAAATTTTTGTTTGGCCCCCCCAAGTTTGCTGAGCAAAAAATCATTTCTAAGTTATTTTAATTTGTGAAATCTGTTCCCAAGTATTTCCACTCATAATAGAGAGACACGTGATCATATACAAATGTAAGCAAGGTTTGAAATTATGTTTTAGTAAAATATTATATCTGTTTGGGCTTCTTGCGGTCAATTTGCAGTCTCCAAATTATTTGTAATTATGTTCAGGCCCCCCGACCATCGGCTCATGAAAAAATTGGCCCGCGGCTGAATCTAGTTGATGATCCTTGATCTAGAGTAAGGGTGGGCAACTGTGTTGTCTTAAGTAGAACACATCACTATGGAGACATAGACATGGCTCTCTCAGAATGACTTGGTGAGCTTGGAAAGACCGTCATTGGTGTAACTGAAAGGACATTCAAAAAAAATATTGGCTAGTAAGAAATCTAAAACAGAAGCAGAAAGATGAAGCCATTGAGAAGTTATCATTGCATGCAAGTCTTCTACTTTTAGTTAAATTTAGTAAGTAAACCTTGTCTGAGCCAGAATGGTCCATAGGGCAAGAGCATATTTCCTGTTTCTGTAGCATGAGGCAGCTTGATGTACACGCCCTGAAAAGGACGCTAGTCTATCACAGGGCCTTAGGCCCAATCCATCCCCAATCCAGTACCAAGCAGAGAGGTATGATGACTGGTAGTTGGACCACCATCTTTCCAAACGCTGGGCAGTCACGCTCACCACAAGGCCACTGATTTGGTTTCTTATTTTAGTTCCTACCCCTAAAGAGACCCACAGACTTATTTTGATGCATTCTTTCATAAATATTTATTCTTGAACACATTACTATGTTGACTAGACAGGTCAAGAGGTTCCACTGAATGATGTGATCTGACCTACTCATGTCATGGGAGGGGACAGAGCTAGTGGAGACACGCAGAACACATCACGTTTCCATTTGCACAGCTCACACAGTGGATGCATTTCCATGTACAGATGAAGTCAGAAGTTTACATACAACTTAGCTAAATACATTTAAACTCAGTTTTTCATAATTACTGATATTTAATCCTAGTAAAAATTCCCTGTCTTAGGTCAGTTAGGATCACCACTTTATTTTCAGAATGTGAAATGTCAGAATAATAGTAGAGAGAATGATTTATTGCAGCTTGTATTTCTTTCATCACATTCCCAGTGGGTCAGAAGTTTACATACACTCAATTAGTATTCGGTAGCATTGCCTTTAAATTGTTTAACTTGGGTCAAACGTTTCGGGTAGCTTCCACAAGCTGCCCACAATAAGTTGTGTGAATTTGGCCCATTCCTCCTGACAGAGCTGGTATAACTGAGTGAGGTTTGTAGGCCTCCTTGCTCGCACACGCTTTTTCAGTTCTGCCCACACATTTTCTATAGGATTGAGGTCAGGGCTTTGTGATGGCCACTCCAATACCTTGACTTTGTTGTCCTTAAGCCATTTTGCCACAACTTTGGAAGTATGCTTGGGGTCATTGTCCAAGCTTTAACTTCCTGACTGATGTCTTGAGATGTTGCTTCAATATATCCACATAATTTTCCTTCCTCATGATGCCATCTATTTTGTGAAGTGCACCAGTCCTTCCTGCAGCAAAGCATCCCCACAGCATGATGCTGCCACCCCCGTGCTTCACAGTTGGGATGGTGTTCTTCGGCTTGCAAGCATTCTCCTTTTTCCTCCAAACATAACGATGGTCATTATGGCCAAACAGTTCTATTTTTGTTTCATCAGACCAGAGGACAATTCTCCAAAAAGTCAGATCTTTGTCCTCATGTGCAGTTGCAAACCGTAGTCTGGCTTTTTTATGGTGGTTTTGGAGCAGTGGCTTCTTCCTTGCTGAGCGGCCTTTCAGGTTATGTCGATATAGGACTTGTTTTACTGTGGATATAGATACTTTTGTACCTGTTTCCTCCAGCATCTTCACAATGTCCTTTGCTGTTGTTCTGAGATTGATTTGCACTTTTCGCACCAAAGTACGTTCATCTCTAGGAGACAGAACACATCTCCTTCCTGAGCGGTATGACGGCTGCGTGGTCCCATGGTGTTTATACTTGCGTACTATTGTTTGTATAGATGAACTTGGTACCTTCAGGCGTTTGGAAATTGCTCCCAAGGATGAACCAGACTTGTGGAGGTCTACAATTTCTTTTCTGAGGTCTTGGCTGATTTCTTTTGGTTTTCCCATGATGTCAAATGAAGAGGTACTGAGTTTGAAGGTAGGCCTTGAAATACACAGCTCAAAAAAATAAAGGGAACACTTAAACAACACAATGTAACTCCAAGTCAATCACGCTTCTGTGAAATCAAACTGTCCACTTAGGAAGCAACACTGATTGACAATACATTTCACATGCTGTTGTGCAAATGGAATAGACAACAGGTGGAAATTATAGGCAATTAGCAAGACACCCCCAATAAAGGACTGATTTTGCAAGTGGTGACCACAGACCACTTCTCAGTTCCTATGCTTCCTGGCTGATGTTTTGGTCACTTTTGAGTGCTGGCGGTGCTTTCACTCTAGTGGTAGCATGAGACGGAGTCTACAACCCACACAAGTGGCTCAGGTAGTGCAGCTCATCCAGGATGGCACATCAATGCGAGCTGTGGCAAGAAGGTTTGCTGTGTCTGTCAGCGTAGTGTCCAGAGCATGGAGGCGCTACCAGAAGACAGGCCAGTACATCAGGAGACGTGGAGGAGGCCGTAGGAGGGCAACAAGGAGCAGGAGGAGCACTGCCAGAGCCCTGCAAAATGACCTCCAGCAGGCCACAAATGTGCATGTGTCTGCTCAAACGGTCAGAAACAGACTCCATGAGGGTGTTATGAGGGCCCGACGTCCACAGGTGGGGGTTGTGCTTACAGCCCAACACCGTGCAGGACGTTTGGCATTTGTCAGAGCACACCAAGATTGGCAAATTCGCCACTGGCGCCCTGTGCTCTTCACAGATGAAAGCAGGTTCACACTGAGCACGTGACAGACGTGACAGAGTCTGGAGACGCCGTGGAGAACGTTCTGCTGCCTGCAACATCTTCCAGCATGACCGGTTTGGCGGTGGGTCAGTCATGGTGTGGGGTGGCATTTCTTTGGGGGGCGGCACAGCCCTCCATGTGCTCGCCAGAGGTAGCCTGACTGCCATTAGGTACCGAGATGAGATCCTCAGACCCCTTGTGAGACCATATGCTGGTGCGGTTGGCCCTGGGTTCCTCCTAATGCAACACAATGCTAGACCTCATGTGGCTGGAGTGTGTCAGCAGTTCCTGCAAGAGGAAGGCATTGATGCTATGGACTGGCCCACGCATTCCCCAGACCGGAATCCAATTGAGCACATCTGGGACATCATGTCTCGCTCCATCCACCAACGCCACGTTGCACCACAGACTGTCCAAGAGTTGGCAGATGCTTTAGTCCAGGTCTAGGAGGAGATCCCTCAGGAGACCACCCGCCACCTCATCAGGAGCATGCCCAGTCGTTGTAGGGAGGTCATACAGGCACGTGGAGGCCACACACACTACTGAGCCTCATTTTGACTTGTTTTAAGGACATTACATCAAAGTTGGATCAGCCTGTAGTGTGGTTTCCACTTTAATTTTGAGGGTGACTCCAAATCCAGACCTCCATGGGTTGATACATTTGATTTCCATTGATAATTTTTGTGTGATTTTGTAGTCAGCACATTCAACTATGTAAAGAAAAAAGTATTTAATAAGATTATTTCATTCATTCAGATCTAGGATGTGTTATTTTAGTGTTCCCTTTATTTTTTTGAGCAGTGTACATCCAGAGGTACACCTCCAATTGACTCAAATTATGTCAATTAGCCTATCAGAAGCTTCTAAAGCCATGACATCATTTTCTGGAATTTTCCAAGCTGTTTAAAGGCACAGTCAACTTTGTGTATGTAAACTTCTGACCCACTGGAATTGTGATACAGTGAATTATAAGTGAAATAATCTGTCTGTAAACAATTGTTGGAGAAATTACTTGTGTCATGCACAAAGTAGATCTCCTAACCGACTTGCCAAAACTATAGTTCGTTAACAAGACATTTGTGGAGTGGTTGAAAAACAAGTTTTAATGGCTCCAACCTAAGTGTATGTAAACTTCCGACTTCAACTGTAGGTAGTAGAGATGGGGAGAAACAATGATGATTGGACAGATATAAACAGGAAGTTTATCTAAAGCATAGACATGCAATAATCGTGTTCTAATTCAACCCCAGGGTGAAAATCTGTGGACAGATTAACAGTCAGGGGGAAGCTTGAAGTTCCTGTCCCTTTTGTTTCACATTTTAAACTTCCCCCATCAGGACTTTTAGACAGAGTAAAGAACAACTCCTTTAACATACCGGTCCAGAGTGCCATCATATCAGGTGGCAACGTATATCAGGTATAGCGAAAAACAACAGCTACTAAACATGCAACTTGTGTTTCTTCTGGTCTGTTTGTTTGTTAAACCAGGTAAGACCTCTCATATGTTCTACTGTATATTGGTTAATATTAAGTATGTATTGTATTAGGGCAGAATCCTAACTGGAGATCTGCACCGTAACTAAATGTTTTTTGCATGTATCCCTATTTACATAATTTACGCAAAAGTTGAAGTTAAGTGCATGGGATCTCAAATTAGGATTTGGGCCTTTTAATGATTACAGTCATCACAACAAATGTATTTGCTGTGTCACAGCAAAGAGAAAGACAACATTTACATTTACATTTTAGTCATTTAGCAGACGCTCTTATCCAGAGCGACTTACAGGAGCAATTAGGGTTAAGTGCCTTGCTCAAGGGCACATCAACAGATTTTTCACCTAGTCGGCTCGGGGATTAGAACCAGCGACCTTTCGGTTACTGGCACAACGCTCTTAACCACTAAGCTACCCATTAAAATATAAGTTGTGACACCAGTTGGTGAGTACAGTGTAGTTAAGGCTAAAAGAGTCAATTTCGTACAGTAAGTGTTCCATTTACAATCGCCCACTCTAACCATTGTCTCATTGTCTCTTTTAGCAGCTTTTCTTCAGTCGAAGCGAAGGGTCGAATTGAACTTCCTGATTGGAGCTCCAGTCATGCTTGTTGGTCAGAAAGTCCAAATGCATTGTATGGGATCATTGGATGAGAAGAAATACAGCTGGTACCATCTGAACCAAACCACATCTATGAACATTGACAGTAACCTGACTCTACTTGTCACCACTGAGGACTCTGGAGAATACAAGTGTTCAGGTTATTACAATGGAACAGTGTACTACAGTAATGCTGTACACCTGACAGTAGTAGGTACATGACTGGAAGTTATTCTAAATCATAAAAGTCCCATTAACTTCATAGTTATCAAGAAACAAATAGTTAATTTTCATGGGATGTTTGTGGATGCTAGAATATGGGATTGTGTTTATCAACCTTTTCCACCCACTAATTATTTTCCCGTCCCAGCGGAACATACACAGCCAACACCAAGGCAACCCCAAATAGCTTCCCTGACTTTTGAGAGAAAACCCTACTTATTTAGAGACACAAAGGGATGGCAGGGACTGCAGTTAAAGCCACATCTCCTGTTGGAAAACCACTAAGACGAGAGAAGCATAGCAGGCAGGGAGTGAGTTGAACAGTTCAGCCAGGCTTCATTCTTTTGACTGGTTTTCACCGGAGCAGAACATAGCACAGTTATGTGAGTGTTTATAGTAACAGCCCCGTCCCCTGGCTAGGATAATGACCAAGCACTTCCACCCTTCTGCACCCCCCCCCCCCCCCCCCTCTATTCTATCCTTCTACAATTTTCATATCCCCCTCTCCCTCTCCCACCCCCTCTATCCATCTACAATATACACCCCCCCCCCCCAAACCACAGTGTGTTCATGGTGTGTCACATGTAGTGCAGTCAGGCTAGAGGGGTATGGATAATGTGGTTGAGGCTAAGTTTATGGGGTCAAACTATGGTTACGTTAATTTTGATTCAAATAAGTGGGTGCTATCTGGAACCTTAATGGGTTCTTCGGCTGTCCCCATAGAATAACCCTTTTTGGTTTCAGGTACAACCCGTTTGGTTCCAGGAATAAGTTTTTTGTGTTCCATGTAGAACTCTTTCCAAAGAGGGTTCTACCTGGAACCCACAAGGGTTCTACCTGGAACCAAAATGGGTTCTCCTATAGGGACAGCCAAAGAACCCTTTGGAACCCTTTTCTAAGAGTTTAGTCTGGATCTGTAATTTGTGTGTATATTTCAGTACCACAAAGTAGTTATCCATGTCCCCTCCTATCTCCCTAGAGAGACTCTCCAATGTGTCTGTGTCATCCACACCCAAGGACCTGGTAACCATGGAGGGGCAGAGTGTCACCCTGTACTGTCAAGCCACCTCCCACCCTCCCTCTGTCGTCTGGAGCTGGAGCAGGTTGGATGAGCAGGGTGGGTGGCAGGAAGTGGGCATCGGGCGAGAGCTGACCCTGAGACTGGCAAGGGAGAGTGGGCAGTACTTTTGCCAGGCTCACAGCAAGATCTTGGTCCTGACGCAGCAGCAACAAAGCCCCTTCCACACAGTCTGTATCCTCTACTTCCCCATGACTGGTAATCTACTCATCCATCATAACATCCACCTTGTTTCTCATATGTTTCCAATACATTTAGCTTCCTCTCAGCTCAAGATGGAAAACAGCTCAGTTTGAGGAAATGATGAACGATAATGAGATTTGTTCCATTAGTAGAGAATTGCAGCTGATGAGGAAGATGTGTGGTAATGGTGGTGTGAGAGTGACAATGTACCAAAATAAAATATAATGTACTGGGATGGTGCCTCTCACATTATCATGTCATTATTCTGGCTTTATAACATTGGATTGCATTTATCAATAGTTGTATGTTGTCGAACCCTACTATTCAATGTACACTACCAGTGGACACACCTACATTGTATGAAGACATCAAAACTATGAAATAACACAATTTGGAATCATGTAGTAACCAAAAAAGTGTTGAACAAATCAAAATATATTTTATATTTGAGATTCTTCTAAATAGCCACCCTTTGCCTTGATGACAGCTTTGCACACTTGACATTCTCTCAACCAGCTTCATGAGGTACTCACCTGGAATGCATTTCAATTAACAGGTGTGCCTTCTTAAAAGTTAATTTGTGGAATTTCTTTCCTTCTTAATGCGTTTGAGCCAATCAGTTGTGTAAGTGACAAGGAAGATGGACCTATTTGGTAAAATACCAAGTGCATATTATGGCAAGAACAGCTCAAATAAGCAAAGAGAAAAGACAGTCCATCATTACTTCAAGACATGAAGGTCAGTCAATACGGAACATTTCAAGAAGCAAATAAATGTTTCACAGAGTTCAAGTAACAGACATATCAGAACATCAACTGTTCAGAGGAGACCGTGTGAATCAGGCCTTCCTGGTCGAATTGCTGCAAATAAACCACTACTAAAGGACACCAATAAGAAGAAGAGACTTGCTTGGGCCAAGAAACACGAGCAATGGACATTAGACCGGTGGAAATGTGTCCTTTGGTCTGGAGTCCAAATTTGAGATTTTCGGTTCCAACCGCCCTGTCTTTGTGAGACGCGGTGTGGGTGAACGGATGATCTCCGCATGTGTATTTCCTACCGTAAAGCATGGAGGAGGAGGCATTATGGTGTGGGGGTGCTTTGCTGGTGACACTGTCTGTGATTTATTTAGAATTCAAGGCACACTTAACCAGCATGGCTACCACAGCATTCTGCATCAATACACCGTCAAATCTGGTTTGGGCTTAGTGGGACTATCATTGGTTTCTCAACAGGACAATGACCCAACACACCTCCAAGCTGTGTAAGGGCTATTTTACCAAGAAGGAGAGTGATGGAGTGCTGCATCAGATGACCTGGCCTCCACAAGATGGTATGGGATGAGTCGGACCGCAGAGTGAAGGAAAAGCAGCCAACAAGTGCTCAGCATATGTGGGAACTTCAAGACTGTTTGAAAAGCATTCCAGGTGAAGCTGGTTGAAAGAATGCCAAGAGTGTGCAAAGCTGTCATCAAGGCAGTATCAAGGATACTAAAATATATTTTGATTGGTTTAACACTTTTTTGGTTACTACATGATTCCAAATGTGTTATTTCATCGTTTTGATGTCTTCACTATTATTCAACAATGTAGAAAATAGTAAAAATAAAGAAAAACCCTGGAATGAGTAGGTGTCCAAACTTTTGACTGGTACTGTATGTATCAATTTTTGATGCACAGTAGTACTTTATAGCATAGGTTTGTAACGTTTTTGATGTTAGTGTAAGCCTGTGGCACATCAATGTCAATACAATTCAATTGAGTGCTCCTCTTCTTCCCTTAGGCAGTGTGTATGCAGGAGTGGCAGGGTTGGTACTGGTTCTCCTTGCCTGGGTCTTACTGCTCTTGGTGCTGCTGTGGTTCTGGAGGCAGGCCAAAGAGAGGGCCGGTCAAGAGACCCTGGCCATCAATAGTGCACCGGCCAAAGGTGAGTGACACTGTCAAGTATACTGCACCATATCAACAGTTCTGCCAAGTCTTCAGCTATACTACAGAATTATAATTGTAATATGAAGGCTACTGTAGTTACAGGAAGTAATGGGTTGTTATTTAGCCAACCCAAGTAGAGGCACCTGTGATTCAATCTATGATTCAATTTGTAAATGACCAAAATATAGGACTATAGTAGGTTTCTGAAAAGCCTACAATGTTCATTCGTGCATTGTGAGTGTTGGTTTAACATACTGTGATGTATTTTCCATGTACTTCCAGGATTTACTGGACCTGCAAAACCACCAAAGTAAGAGTATGATGAAGAATCATATCTGTGTGTTTTACATGTGTCTTCCTGTGTATGAGATTATAATTAGCTGATCACTATGTTGATCATGTGTCTGCTGTCATCCACTAGGGGGAGGAGTCAGCCCCAGGCCCAGGCTGGGGATGAGGGAGAAATCTACATGAACTGTGGTGAAACCAACCAAGCCTACAGCGACCTGTGCCCCGCCTACATGACAGGGGATGATACCTACGCTACCTTGGGCTGATACCTACACCACCTTGGGATGATATCTACACCACCTTGGGATGATACCTACACCACCTTGGGATGATACCTACACCACCTTGGGATGATACCCACACCTTGTCGTGAGAGAGGGTGATGGGACTTACCCAAGGACAGGAACAACATATGCATATCTGACATGAATGTAACACTAAAATAGCCTGCTTGATAAACCACATACTGTAGATAACAGAAGAGATACATCCTCCTTTGCTCACTCTAAAACAATGTGGGGCAGTTTCCCAGACACAGATTAAACCTAGTCCTGGACTTAAGAGAGTTCGAGTTTGTTTAATATTTGAAGAGAATCTAGATTTGACTTGTAAAAAAGTAAAGAGGTTTGAAAAGTGTTATTTTTCTTGTTTGTCTTCACTCATTTGCAAGACGCTGATAGTGATCTTTCTCAGAATCGTTTAACGGAAGCCTTGAATAAAACATTTATTGTGAAACAAAAAACAGGTATTTCAATAACAATGTATCTGTTATATCAGATTTACATTTGAGAATGCAGTACAGCGTGCTACACAACACATTTTAATTGCATCACAAACATAGAGTTACAGTTACTGCAACATTTATACCAGAGGTCCATTAACTTTATAACCCACTCATCTCTGTTAATACTTCAGTAGCTGGCAGTTGAGAAGTCATCATGTTCATCACATGGTTACCAGCCTTGTAAAAGGACTGTGAAGCTTGTTATTCCCTCATTCTTTACAATCACTAGCTTTAACAATAATTGCAATGCATCACATATTTTTTAAAGTCTGGTAACACTTTATTTGGATAGTCTGTAAACCATCTACAGATGGACTCTCTACAGACTATCACTAACATTTCAACTATCTACTAACCCCTAACCCTAATCTTAACCCTAATCCTTATCCCAACCCTAACCTTAACCCAACCCTTATTCTAACCCTAACCCTAACCTTAGCAAGCAGTTGCTTGTCAACAAATAGTGTGTTGATAGTATGACCTCTCTGTAGAGCATCTACAAATGGACTATCTGGACTATCCAAATAAAGTGTGACCGAAAGTACTTCTGGGCTCCCAGTATTTCTTTTGCAATCTTACAAATTTGCATTAACAAATACAATTTCACATCGCACCACACGTGAGAGTAGGCTAAAAGACTCTGTAGGCTAAAATCATAGTAATTCTACATAGCTTGTTTGGCAATTACAGTTTCAGTTCATTACAAAGATTTGCTTATCTCAACATTCATGAACTTTACGGACAGCCAACATCCTGAAAAGCTCATTGTTATTAATATGTGTCCATATTAGACGATCAAGACAGAGGAAATTGTCATTCCTTGCTCATGACTAGCTGTTGTTCAGCACCGAATTTCGAAGGCTCCAACAGCGATAGGACTATCCGAGTAAATGCACCATATCTATTTTATCTAAAGATCTAGTCTAGTGGCTTGGGACTGAGTTTATAGAACTATTGTGCTATCATTTATAGAAGCTCCAGTTCCCTATAAAACTTCGGATTTTCTCCTCTGATTACACTAGAAGAACAGGAAGAAACAGAGGTGATGAAATTGAAGTCGCAAGTCTGTAACAAGAACAAAGTGTAAGATACGTTGTGAGATCCAATGTACAGTACAACTGAAAAATGAAAACAAAGAATCAATTGTCCAAAGATTCTTTAAAACACTGATTATGCCGACACAGTGGCCAGGAAAAACATTCCTACAGGGAAGAAATCTAGAGAGGAACCATACTCTGGGTGGGGCTGTGTGGTGTTGCATCTGTTCATGTGAATGTGTCTGAATGAACATGAGGCTACATAACAGAGTGCATGTTCTGCACTATGTGTGCATTGCTATGTGTGGGTGTGATGAGATGAAGCATCCTGAGGATGTGGTCACTATCAATAGTCAGCATTAGCTGCTGATTTTGTACGTTTGCCCACTGACAAAGACATGATCAGTCTATATTTTTAATGGTAGGTTTATTTGAACAGTGAGACAGAATAACAGCAAAAAAATCCAGAAAAACACGTCAAAAATATTATAAATTGATTTGCATTTTAAATTAGGGAAATAAGTATTTGACCCCTCTGCAAAACATGATTTAGTACTTGGTGGCAAAACCCTTGTTGGCAATCACAGAGGTCAGACGTTTCTTGTAGTTGGCCACCAGGTTTGCACACATCTCAGGAGGGATTTTGTTCCACTCCTCTTTGCAGATCTTCTCCAAGTCATTAAGGTTTCGAGGCTGACGTTTGGCAACTCGAACCTTCAGCTCCCTCCACAGATTTTCTATGGGATTAAGGTCTGGAGACTGGCTAGGCCACTCCAGGACCCTAATGTGCTTCTTCTTGAGCCACTTCTTTGTTGCCTTGGCCGTGTGTTTTGGGTCATTGTCATGCTGGAATACCCACCCACGACCCATTTTCAATGCCCTGGCTGAAGGAAGGAGGTTCTCATCCAAGATTTGACGGTACATGGCGCCGTCCATCGTCCCTTTGATGCGGTGAAGTTGTCCTGTCCCCTTAGCAGAAAAACACCCCCAAAGCATAATGTTTCCACCTCCATGTTTGACGGTGGGGATGGTGTTCTTGGGGTCATAGGCAGCATTCCTCCTCCTCCAAACACGGCGAGTTGAGTTGATGCCAAAGAGCTCGATTTTGGTCTCATCTGACCACAACACTTTCACCCAGTTCTCCTCTGAATCATTCAGATGTTCATTGGCAAACTTCAGACAGCCCTGTATATGTGCTTTCTTGAGCAGGGGGACCTCGCGGGCGCTGCAGGATTCCAGTCCTTCACGTCATAGAGTGTTACCAATTGTTTTCTTGGTGACTATGGTCCCAGCTGCCTTGTGATCATTGACAAGATCCTCCCATGTAGTTCTGGGCTGATTCCTCACCGTTCTCATGATCATTGCAACTCCACGAGGTGAGATCTTGCATGGAGCCCCAGGCCGAGGGAGATTGACAGTTATTTTGTGTTTCTTCCATTTGCTATTTAATCGCACCAACTGTTGTCACCTTCTCACCAAGCTGCTTGGCGATGGTCTTGTAGCCCATTCCAGCCTTATGTAGGTCTACAATCTTGTCCCTGATATCCTTGGAGAGCTCTTTGGTCTTAGCCATAGTGGAGAGTTTGTAATCTGATTGATTGATTGCTTCTGTGGACAGGTGTCTTTTATACAGGTAACAAGCTGAGATTAGGAGCACTCCCTTTAAAAATGTGCTCCTAATATCAGCTCGTTACCTGTATAAAAGACACCTGGAAGCCAGAAATCTTTCTGATTGAGAGGGGGTAAAAATACTTACAGTGGGGGAAAAAGTATTTAGTCAGCCACCAATTGTGCAAGTTCTCCCAATTAAAAAGATGAGAGAGGCCTGTAATTTTCATCATAGGTACACGTCAACTATGACAGACAAAATGAGAAAGAAATATCCAGAAAATCACATTGTAGGATTTTTAATGAATTTATTTGCAAATGATGGTGGAAATTAAGTATTTGGTCACCTACAAACAAGCAAGATTTCTGGCTCTCACAGACCTGTAACTTCATCTTTAAGAGGCTCCTCTGTCCTCCACTCGTTACCTGTATTAATGGCACCTGTTTGAACTTGTTATCAGTATAAAAGACACCTGTCCACAACCTCAAACAGTCACACTCCAAACTCCACTATGGCCAAGACCATAGAAATCAACTGTGGGAGCAATTATTAGGAAATGGAAGACATACAAGACCACTGATAATCTCCCTCGATCTGGGGCTCCACGCAAGTTCTCACCACGTTGGGTCAAAATGATCACAAGAACGGTGAGCAAAAATCCCAGAACCACACGGGGGGACCTAGTGAATGACCTGCAGAGAGCTGGGACCAAAGTAACAAAGCCCATCATCAGTAACACACTACGCCGCCAGGGACTCAAATCCTGCAGTGCCAGACGTGTCCCCCTGCTTAAGCCAGTACATGTCCAGGCCCATCTGAAGTTTGCTAGAGTGCATTTGGATGATCCAGAAGAGGATTGGGAGAATGTCATATGGTCAGATGAAACCAAAATAGAACCTTTTGGTAAAAACTCAACTCGTCGTGTTTGGAGGACAAAGAATGCTGTGTTGCATCCAAAGAACACCATACCTACTGTGAAGCATGGGGGTGGAAACATCATGCTTTGGGGCTGTTTTTCTGCAAAGGGACCAGGACGACTGATCCGTGTAAAGGAAAGAATGAATGGGGCCATGTATCGTGAGATTGAGTGAAAACCTCCTTCCATCAGCAAGGGCATTGAAGATGAAACGTGGCTGGGTCTTTCAGCATGACAATGATCCCAAACACACCCGGGCAACGAAGGAGTGGCTTCGTAAGAAGCATTTCAAGGTCCTGGAGTGGCCTAGCCAGTCTCCAGATCTCAACCCCATAGAAAATCTTTGGAGGGAGTTGAAAGTCCGTGTTGCCCAGCGACAGCCCCAAAACATCACTGCTCTAGAGGAGATCTGCATGGAGGAATGGGCCAAAATACCAGTAACAGTGTGTGAAAACCTTGTGAAGACTTACAGAAAACGTTTGACCTGTGTCATTGCCAACAAAGGGTATATAACAAAGTATTGAGAAACTTTTGTTATTGACCAAATACTTATTTTCCACCATAATTTGCAAATAAATTCATAAAAAATCCTCCAATGTGATTTTCTGGATTTTTTTTCTCATTTTGTCTGTCATAGTTGACGTGTACCTATGATGAAAATTACAGGCCTCTCTCATCTTTTTAAGTGGGAGAACTTGCACAATTGGTGGCTGACTAAATACTTTTTTCCCCCACTGTATTTCCCTCATTAAAATGCAAATCAATTGATAACATTTTTTACATTTTTTTGTTGTTATTTAGTCTCTCACTGTTCAAATAAACCTACCATTAAAATTATAGACTGATCATTTATTTGTCAGTGGGCAAACGTACAAAATCAGCAGGGGATCAAATACTTTTTTCCCTCACTGTAGACTCAAAGGCTTAGACTCACACAATGTTTTCTAATACTATATAAAAA